TATTTAAAGTTCTCCATCCAGTATTAAAGAGAGAGACAGGTGGAGGTGCTGATGTTGAATAAGGACTTGTGTGTGCTGCATGTGAGTGTTTGATGATTGTGTGTGTGTGGGTGTAAAAGTGTCCATTTGACAATAAGAAAATAATTTAAATTGCTGCATTATTGTTGAGGGCACACGCTAATGTTAGCGTTATCTTAAGCTAATGCTAATGGCTCTAACTGGGAGGGTGAACAGTTTTGCTCTAACCTTATTGCAACTCTTCTTGATACTAACCGCCGGGGGCATAAACTCTGTCCTTCACCCATGGCTCGACAAGTCTAGTCTTGTCCCAACCAACCCCGCAGCATGAAGTTATTATTTCTCTAGATGAATGGTGAAAAGGCTTTGACTGCGTTGAGTGGGACTACCTAAACGTAGTGTTAAAGACATCTTTGAAGGTTCTCAGTCATCCTGGTCACAGTTCTCCATGGAAGAGTTAAAACCGCAGGCAGCTGGTTTGAAGACACTGGAATATGTTTCATCCAATCAGCTTATTCAGTTCTGACGGACTGACAGGGAGTCCCAGCTATTTAACCTGTGTGGGTTTGTTATCAAGGTGATGGATACCGCTTGGTTCGTTAGTGCTCCTGGTTGTACAATGGTGTCTCTATTCTGGTGGTGAAAGAGGCCATTTACACCAGAATAGAGAGACCATCTCTGAACAAAGGAGGAGGTTTGCGACACCACTTATCCACCACCCGTCCTTTCATCTCTTCCCAGCGGACTGAAGAAACATTCACATCTGGCCTCATGTGACGATGCCAACAACAGTCGTTTAGACTCTGCCTTAGGTGACTCCAGCGACTGTGGTTACAGCAGCCAGGAGCACTGACGAACCAAGTGGTATCTATCACGTGGATAACGACCCCGCAGAGGTTTAATAGCTTGGACTCACTGCCAGACAGCCAGAACTGAAAAAGCCTCTAGGATGAGAGACAAAACATCTTCAACCAAGTCCAGTTGCCTTTGATTTTAAGCTCCCTTTGTTAAAGATACTTTTTCACATGGACTAAAACCGCCTAAAGCCTCTGTTCACACCACTATGACCTCCAACAAGGACACGACTGCTGTCACTCTACGCTCCCATGAAAGAAATCAGTGAGAAGGAGAGAAATGACCCACAAGGTGTCACTCTACGCAGATGATTTATTCCTTTAACCTCTTAACATTCCAACGGCCCGCCTCATAGCAACTTAATCCACCGATCGATTATAATCCAACAAAAACGGTCTTGTTACGTTGTCAAAGGTCCAGACGATCCAATCCAGTAAAAACATTTAGTCCAAAACACATTATTCCATCAGTAAATCCCCAGGGACAGCTAATTTGCCCCAATAAGAGCTCACATGTACCTTTCACAGCCTTCAATAGCCAACGAGAGCCTGTGCTGTAAGGAAGGGCCAGCCAATTGCAAGCAATTGTGCCAATGACTGGCACTTCGTGTTGCCAATAAAATTCTGCAAATTACAATATACAGCTTTGAGTAGGAAGTTCATGATCTACCATCAAAAAATCACATCTGCGTCGAGCTACTGGCTAAGACGGAATGATGCAGCAGCAGCCGTGTGCCGCTATGGGGCGGTGCCGTTTTAGAAAAAATACGCTGACATACACTCAGAAAAACCTGTGGAAAATAGTCATTTTTCATGGTATTGGTATGAAATTTAAACTATGATTAGTTAAGGCTTTATGCTGTGACCCTACAGTGTTTCCCAGCTGTAGTTGTCTGCATGCATTTGTTAGCAAGCATTTTCAAGCGGAAATGAAAAATATATTAGTTTTCGTGTGTTTAAACTTATATTTATCAATTCCAGTAGCACTTACAATCATTCTGACTTTTGGGTTAGCCACTCCAGAGTGTTTCTTTCAGAGAAGCCCAAAACCAGCCATTTACTCCAGATGGTTCAAGAACCACGTTCAGTTTACTTTGGATCTGCCTTGAATAGGCGTTTTGCATGGATTTTACAGGACTGTTAAGAGGTTAAACCTCAAACCCAGAAAGCTCCTCACTCACTAGAAGTATTCAAAGTGCTTTACATATCTGGGGATATGTGCAACAAGACCATTTACAGCACTCCATAAACATAACTTTACCTGACTTCTAGACCATACCAAGACAGACGTGACCCGGTGGTCGAATCTCTAAATTTCTTTAGCAGTGTGTGCTACCAAGATCCCTATACTTGTTCCAAATAATCCTGCTCACCCATCTTACCCACTATTACTGGGCTGCAAACAAATCTACTTGGACACTCACAGAGATACCGGGCAGACTTCCGACACCACTGTGTCACTCCTGACCTCTCCACTACCTCTAAACCTGGGTACTCATGTTAAAAATCCCAATGTTAAAACTTCCCTTAGAATCTGGAACTAATTCAGAAGAAACTTTTTCTCTGACGACACTTGATCACCTTTTCTTACCACCACAAAAAGACTCAGCGTTTATGTTACGGCAAAGAGGTTGGTTTATTGATAAGAATTTTACTGCATTTGACCGCAAATGCAACAATAACAATATTCCCAGCTCATTCTTTTTTAGATACCGCAAGTCTGGAGTTTTGCTAAAAAGCATAAAGCAAAAGCAAAAGAGGACGCTGTAGAGGAACTACTGGAACAGATTTGGGAAGACAGTAAGGCGGTTCATCCCTCAGCCCTCTGTATAAGATACAGGCCCAACCCTAATCTCCACCCTAAAGCCTAAACCCTGGACACAGAGACGTAAGCCTGATTTATACTTCCCTGTCAAGTGTATGCCATAGACTACGTGTAGCCCAGTATCCTAAGCCATCCCCTATGCCGTAGCATGACATGCACCTCCCCAAAAAATTTAACTACATGTTGTGGCAACACAGACAGGAAGAACTGTGACTGGTCGACTTGGTAGCATCTCATTTCCTACGAGGTCCCGGGAAGAGCTCCGTGCTTTGAAGACAGTTTTACTAGTCAGCCAAACCAGTGGCTGTCAAATGCCAGAAAAAATGTTTTGAGTTCATAAACCCCGCAATTCAGTTCAGTGGAGGGCTAAACCGGAAGTTAGCCAAGTCAGCTGGCAGAAATCAACACAAACAAACTTATAGTTCCACCGCCAACTAGTGTTTTGGTGGTGTAATTGCAGAGCGATGCAGACAAAACGCATGTTGTTGCTAAAGTAACCGCTACAGCTACAGCTAGGCGAGCATTTTACACCGCGTGTTACATAGTGACACAGATAGGTTAGAAAGTAAATGCTGGACTACAATCCAGCTGTTTTCAGGCAGGTCAGGAGCAGTGTTGAGATGGGAATGCTCAGCAAGTCGGAGCTCAGGACTCGGATCGACGACATGTCTTTTAAAAAACATAGAACCCGAGTTGGATGCGTTTCATTTGCCACACAACAGGACAAGTCAAGGCAACATTGACCCAGCTAATCTTAGAAGCCCCAGTTGATAAACAACACATTACGTGGTATTTCATACATTACAGGCTTGTAGCAACACACCTACAGGCAACGCTAAGACGCTAAAAGTGCTAAAAAAAACCCCACAGCTTTTTAGGGGTCTAAGCCCGAGTGGGGATGGGAACCTGCAATGTCTTGCATTTGACAACCAGTGGAGTTGTGAACCCTTTTGTAATCCTTATGTTTTTATTTATTTTTTTATTCTTGCGCCACTAAAAGTGATACTGCGGCCTAAACGGTCGGCAAGTCCGATGGGCGCCAAACTTGGCACGGACCATCTCTGGACAAAGCTGATACAAGCTTGCGCTCCCCAGATTGATACGCAAAAAGATTTCCCAATTATAAGCTAACAAAAAAGCAAAAAGCAAAAAAACGCTAAAAACAGGAAGTGATGTCATATCTTAGGTTTGGAATGACTGAAGTTTGTGCACTAATGGGGCTTGCTGAGTGCATATGCAATGTTTGGTGGTGCTGTGTAACATCAATTATCTGTTCCTCTATAACCACATGTTGCATCGACATGAAACCTGAGCCGAATTGTTCAGGATGGTCTCCTTACTCCAGGGACCCTCCAGGGCTGTTATTGCAAATTAAAGACGTCAAAAAAATCCCATTGACATACATGAATTTTTAAATCTCCATAATCACAAGTCGGATTGATACCAAATTTGCCTCTTTTGTTCCACATGGGCCCCTGATGACGCCTGAAAAATTTGGTGCAGTTCAACCTAAAGGTGCTGCTATAATTGAAGCTGAAATACCGTGGGAAAATCCTATTTGAATGGGATTTAGAACCAAAGGACATTTTCGTAATGTCTTGCGTGCTATTGGCACCTGCCCAGCGACTGCAAATGGGAATTAGCTTTTAGCTATATCTACTACAGCACATATATTGGGCATTGTCCCTGTTAAATAAATACATTTTACTGACAGTCAATGTTTGCGGCCGCCTTGCTTTCTGAACTCATCGTCCTCTGAGTTCAGCCGAGTTTAAGAGCAGGAACTTCTGTTTCATTTGTCACCTCCGATCTCGGAAATATAATAATGTTCAATAATGCGGAAAATGTTATTGGGGCTCGTTCACTTTGCAAACCTCTAACATGTACAAGATGTATAACTCAATAAGGGAGAGGGAAAAGGGCAAAAAGCATAATATGACCTCTTTGTACAACCTGAAAACATTTTGATGTCACCTGTTAAACAGTCACATTGAGGTGTTTTCAGGATGTTGAAAGAGCTCATATTATGCTTTTACCCCCTCTCCTTTATTGAGTTCTACACCTTTTCAGGCTGAAAAGAGGAGCTGCAGCAATGTAAACCTGCTCTGGTACAAACACCTGAATAAGATGAGGAACCTGAACATGAGCAGAATATACGACCTCTTTATTATAAAGTTGAGTACAGTAGATCCACAGTATTACTAACCATGTTATGAATGTCTGTTCTTCTTCATGTGGCCGAGGAGTTTGAAGGAAGAGCAGCATGATGAACACACAGAAATGAAGTAGTGACTCGTGACAGGGTAATTTAATGATCAAATTTTATTCAACCCAACACTGGTAACAGCGGCTCGCCCACAACTCACAACACTTCTTATTAATGTTCACATTTAATAAAAAAAATAAAAACATTTTCACACACGAGGGAGTTTCCTTTTACTCAAATTTAGTAAAACTGAGCTGTTTGCAGTTTCCAATGACGCTCGTTTAATCTGAACATTTAAAATATCGTTAACAGAACGCCTTTAAACGTCCCACCCTGCACATATCTGGGTTTTTAAAGGACCCTTCTTGATCAGGTATCAGCTGATGTTTCATTATCAGGTTTTTTAAATTCAGTATCTGTCCAGATCCATCAGGACGGCTCCGTGTCTCACAGTTTAATTAAAGAAGAACAAACACACCTGCACACAGAGGAGGAGGCGGGGCCTGAGAGGACAGGTGAGTCTACCGTCAGCAGGTTAAACATTTGGCACAAAGTGAACACAGCAGAACCGGTACAGGTCTGGTCCATGTCAGGCTCAGCGTCCTGCTGGTCCATCATGTCCACGTCCCTCCTGTGGAGTTCAGGGACAGTCCAGGTCTGAACACAGACCTGCTCACGGGACACAGTTTGAGTTTCAAATGTAAAAATAAATAAATCCAGACCTTTAGCGTCCGGTTTAAATAAAACAAATGCAGACCAGGTTCCACATCTGAGCCACTAAAATCCACAAATCCAGTCCAGAGTGATCCGGTTCAGGGCTTGGTACGGGGAGCACCTTTAATATTTACTCTGGACACGCCGACACTTCTGATAACATTTATTGAAAGACGACGACTGTTCTCGCCGACAGGAAGGCAGTTTGTGCTCGAAGATCCTCCTGCAGCCAAGTTCTCTTTTTCACAGGTTAGAAATCCAACCAACCAGCTGGCCTCAAACTAAACGACAGCTGATCGGGCAGACGTTCTAAATCTAGTCTGGCGGACTGGACGGCGTCTGCAGGGCCTCCTGTGACCTCACGCAGCTGAACACGGGACGCCATTAATGTAGTTTAGAAACCAGCAGCAGCCGGCTGAAAAGGCTGAACCACCACAAAGATCCGCTTCATACGCCCCTACCAGACCTGGACCTGACTGGAACTCGAGCTGGTCCTGGATAAAGCGGTCTGGTCCTGGTCTGGGTCACACATGGAGGCGGGAGTGGCGGAGTTTCCACCTTCTGGATCGGACTTTGAAGAAGAAGAAGAGGAGCATGAGGAAGAGGCAGGAGGAGACGTAGAGGACCACACACAGACTCATGTCCACGCTGTTAAAACCCAGACCCAGAATCCAGACACCTCCTCCTCCTGCTGCTCCACCTCCTCCCCCCACACCCAGAACCTCCTCCCTCTCCTCCCCCCTCAGAGCGTGGGGTCCCGGTCGAGGCTCCGGCTTCTCCTCGGCTTTCCTCTCCGGCTCCTTCTTCTCTTTCTCTCCTCCTCGGTGCTCCTCCTGAGGCGGGCCGGTCTGTACTGGATCAGGATCAGGAGGAGATTCGGGGAGTCGCGGGGGAGTCAGGGAGTATTTGGGAGACAGATTGGAGGCGCCGTAGTGATGTCGGAGGAAGAGGACGACGTTGTCGTGGTTCCAGACGTGGACGCCATTTTTCTCCTCATGGCAGGAGGAGCAGAGGGAGGGGCTCGGCCACGGAGCTTTAGGGAAGAGGGGGTCGTCACTCAGAGAACCTGGAGAGGAGGAGGAGGAAGGGGGGAGAGAGAGAGCGAGAGAGGAAGGAGAGAGAGTGAGCAGAGGAAGGAGGAAGAGAGAGGAGGAGGAGGAAGGAGGAAGGGGAGAGACAGAGAGAGAGGAAGCAGAGGAAGGAGGAAGAGAGAGGAGGAGGAGGAAGGAGGAAGGGGAGAGACAGAGAGAGAGGAAGCAGAGGAAGGAGGAAGAGAGAGGAGGAAGGAGGAAGGAGAGAGAGCGAGCAGAGGAGAGAGCGAGCAAAGGAAGGAGGAAGAGAGAGGAGGAAGAAGGAGAGAGAGAGCGAGCAGAGGAAGAGAAGGAAGAGAGAGAGAGGAGGAAGGAGAGAGAGCGAGCAGAGGAAGGAGGAAGAGAGAGGAGGAAGGAGAGAGAGAGCGAGCAGAGGAAGGGGGAAGAGAGAGGAGGAAGGAGAGAGAGAGCGAGCAGAGGAAGGAGGAAGAGAGGAGGAAGGAGAGAGAGCGAGCAGAGGAAGGGGGAAGAGAGAGGAGGAAGGAGAGCGAGACAGAGGAGAGAGTGAGAGAGAGCGAGCAGAGGAAGGGGGAGAGAGAGAGAGCGAGAGAGAGAGAGAGAGGAAAATAAAGTGTGAAACCAAAGTTACTCCTGTGACTGTGGGTCTGTCATCGCGCTCTGAGTTTTAGAACTACACTTCCCATAATGCTTTGGGGCTGTAAACAGGAAGTACAATGTTAGCATATTGTTTAATGAATCAGCAGGAGAGTCGTGACCTCTGACCTACAGATGGACTCTGTTTGTACCTGCCAGTCTGTAGTTGACCCTGTTGTGCTGGTTCCACAGCCAGAGGACCTGGTCCTCTCTGGTCCGGACTTTCTCCATGCTGGCCGCCGCCGCCTGTTCGAAGTGTCGGCCGCACTGCTCGCAGCCGAAGAACGTCCGGATGTAGCGACGCATCACCTGCAGCACCGGCGCCGCCTCGGCCTCCAGACCTGCGTGAGAGAGACAGACCGGGGTCAGACGGATCCTGAGAGACCGGATCCAAAACCTCGTTTTGGATTCTCGCAGTGACATATTTTAGCCATCGTGGCTCCGACCAGGAGGTGAGAAACTCCAGGAGCTTCAGGGAGCTTCTGCCCTGGACCCGGACCTGGACCAGTCAGGCCTCTCTGACGTTTAAGATCTTTAGGCGCTTTGTCTCAGAAGCTCGATGACCGCGGCTCACGCTCGCCGTCAGCTGAGCGGTTTAATCCCAGCTGCTCTGCTGTTTAAAAGGAACTTATTATATTATTTACAAAGTTACCCGAACACGTTCATATTTAATCCTCTACAGCCGTCTGCTCAGCGCTGCGACGGCGCACGATTCACAAGACAGGAAGATGTTTTAACACGGTTCATCGATTCTTCGTTTAATCCGTGTAACTACACAGCGCAGTGTTTCACACGGACATTTATTACTGCCGCGCGAGACAAAACAGCGAGGGACGAAGAAGAAAGTGTCCAAAGGATCATTTCAAGCTAAAGGAAACAACAACAACTCTGTAACGTTGCCGTCCGTCCACCGTAAAACCAAACTGATGTCTGCTGTAATCTTTTTAGCTTAAGTTCTTTCTTTACGTCTGATTATTGTGCAGATAAACCTCACAGCGTTTATACAAATGAAACACAACATTACTGGCTAGAAAGCAGCGAGTTGGACCTCGTGTGTTTTTTCCTCTGAGTCGACCAGCTAGCGTTAGCTTGTTAGCAGCACCTGACCGATTCGCTCCGGAGCTCGTGCACCGCGAACACACCGCGGGCGTAAACGCCAGCGTTCCCTGTGCTGCCGCACCAAACACAAACGTTCCAGCATTTTAATCCTACCGAACACAAGAAAAAATGTAGAACTTTGTAAATGAATTTAAGACTTTATTTTTAGAATATGGAAGTTAAGAAGTCGGGCAGCAGCGCCAGCGAACATCAACAGCTGAGCAGGACTGGACGGGGCGGAGTCACGTGACCACGCGCAGCAGCATGTTTGTAAGGGGAAAGAACATGAACGCAGGCTGAAGGGAAAATATACAACGAGATGGTGGAAGTGCGTCGGGTAGAGAGGTTTGGGTTCCCGTCTTCCAGCTGTACTTCACACCTTTACTCAGCACAAAGACGTCACGCGGTAAAAAACGTGGCGTTACGTTACGGACGCGGCGGACAGAAGCTCGTGCAGATGTCGTCAAGCGTCAGCTGAACTCCGGAACAAACGGCTCCCGGGTGCGTTTCAAACCTCCTCTTCAGGGTCACTCTGGAGCGGTTTGGTCGTGTCGTCCATCTTTAAACAGCTACCTGTGTTTTCCAGTGCGGCCGGCGTGGCATCGTGTTGGACGGTCAGGACGTGGAACAGAGTCCAGAGGGAACACGGGTAACCTCGAAGCCCCGCCCTGCTGCCCTGGCAGCCAACCCAGCGAAGCTCCGCCCCCAGGAACACACCTGAGATCTGGACAGGAAACAGGAAGTCAGCTGCTGATCTGTGTGCGTGTGTGCCTGCGTGTGTGTGTGTGTGTGTGTGTGTGCGCGAGCTTCACCCTCATCTTGTTGTCCACCAGGTCCAGGACGGCCTGGTAGGGGATTCGCTGCAGCGGCAAACTGAGCAGCCAATCAGAGAGAGTCTCCATCAGCTTCACCACAGAGCCTCCACCTGGATACAACTGGACAGGTAGAGACAGAGAGGGGGGGTCAGACGGGTCCAGCAGACTTCAGGCCCCTTTGGTCCGCAAGTCCAGATCAGACTGAACCCCTGACATCACTAACAGCTAACTGCCACAGACACCAGAGCAGCCGCCGCCGCCGCCGCCGCCGCCGCCGCCGCCGCCGCCGCCCTGTTCTCCACAGGGCGTCTCCGGAAACACGCAGACATTATTGTAATGATGATGTGATTTCAGCTCCAGGTGAAATGCATGCTGGGATACAGGTTTAAGGAGTGAAGCTCACCTTTGCAACCAAGGTGACGAAGTCCTTAAAGATCTTCAGCTCCTCCCCCTCCAGGGTGCTGTGGGTGGCCAGCTCGACTCTCAGCAGGTAGTGGAGGGCTGACTCCAGATCAGCTGTGTACACCTTCGACCTGCAGAGACACAAACAGGTTTACTGATGACCCCCCGACTCCACGAGCCGGGCCGAGCCGGGCCGAGCCGAGCCGAGCCGGGCCGGTCTCACCTGTCAAAGTCCCTCCAGGGCTCTGTGCTCTGTCTGTCCGGCAGCACCCCCATCTGGCCTCTGCTGGAACTGCTGCTGGCCGACTTCCACCTGCGCTGGACTCCAGGTAACGTCCTCAAGAGGGAGGAGAAGAAGAAACGCAACCGCTTCTGACTGCAGAAGAAGAAGGAGACATTTACACAAGTCCTAAAAGCAGACCAGCAGAGTCCTGTGAAACAAAGGAGACTAAAATATTACACGTTAATGGAAACTGATCCTTTGTTGCATATTTGTGAGGAACCTTTGCTTCCAGGATCAGGTGTGACCCCCTGTGGATCAGTCCTGCTTGTGGACCTGAAGGAACCTCAATCCTCAGAACAGCTTTAACTCCTGGATGTTGGTGGGTCTCCTCACATGAACTGCTCGCTGCTGGTCCTTAACACCTGGACCGGTTCAGGTCAGGAGGGTCGGTGTCTTGCTGCCTGACCCGCGTTCTGTTGCGGTTCAGTTCTCAGACAGGTGTCCTGACATTGGTATCATCCAGGATCGATTGTTGCGATCGAGCACTCGAACACAGCACCACGTCCCACAGACCGAACCCAGAACAGGCTTCTCATCCAGAGCAGGAAGTTCTATTCTGGTCTGAATATTTCTAAGAGGCCTTCTGGCTCGTCCACGTGATCTTCAGCAGAGTTCCTGTAAGGAGAGGCCGCCTCCTCCAGCCCCGCTGCTCCGGCCCTGCAGGACTTCAAGGGCCTTTTTCTGATTTTCCTGCTGCTTCTCTAAAGATTGTGATGAAAGTTTTGTTGATAATAAGAGAAAACTGAACCACAGAATTGTAGTTGAATCTTTAAAGAGGTCATATTCTGCTTTTTTGTCTTTTCCCCTCTCCTTTATTGAGTTTAGACATTTTTTGTGCTGTAGCAGGTTTGCAAAGTGAAAAAGCCCAAAGTGAGTTCCCATCTCTCACAGAAAACTCTGCTCTGAACTGAAAACAGCTCGTTTGTAGTCCAGCAGCTTCCCTGTGACATCACAGGGATGAAAGCTAAACGCGCCTCATATAACGCTCGCCAAGCGGCGACTCCGACACGCCCTCAGAAACAGCGAGCTGCAGCACACAGCTCTCCTCTCCCTTCCAAACACTAGCTACCCTCCAGGCAGTCAGTGGACAGAAAGTTGTTCCTGTGATGTAGAGACAGAGCTCAGTTAAAACTTTATGGATACAGATTAATAACTCACCGCTCTGAAACTCTCGCTCCAGTCCGTGTTGCCGAGCCGGTCGGCAACACGTACGGCTGAACCCGAGCCGTTTACCGGCTTCTCGCTGACCCGCCCTTCTCTGCTTCTGATTGGCTAGTAGTCCTTAACTAGGAACTGAGCATGTGCAACTCCCAACAAAGATCATTTAGAGACCAGATGTATCACTCCATAGCTAAAACGAAGCCTTCAACACAGGCTGAAAAGAGGAGCTGCAGCAATGTGCAGTATGACAAATGTATAACCATGGAAACCTGCTCTGGTACAAACACCTGAATAAGATGAGGAACCTGAACATGAGCAGAATATACGACCTCTTTAAACTGTCCCTCCAGGACCCTGCAGATTTAACCCAGCTGACCGGGTGCAGCAGCCTGTGTCTCGGTGTCTCTCCGACGTCCTCCGTGTGTTTCTAACGTTCTCTCTCAAAGCGTTTGTCAGGAGATGATTTCCTTTCTGTTGGACCACGATACTGCACGTTCTGCAGAACAAGAAGATCTGGATCCTGGTCTTCACGGTCCTTTGCTGTTATTTCTGCAGGTAAATGCGAGACGTCTGCCGCGTCTTCTGAACAAGGAGGGGAGTTTGCTGCCATGGGACAACGTTTAGCAGGAAGCAGAGAGGAGAGGTCAGATTTGGGGAAAGGTTGCTGTGATTGTTTCTTCAGTTTCCTCTGTTCGACAGTCTGACTGTGGATCAGTCCAAACTCTTTACAGCTGGTTTTATGAACCTTTAAGGACTAAATGTCAAAAGGGCGTGACCATCGTTAGCAGTTTAGCAAAACGTACAGACTGCTGTGATACTGAAACCTGAACACATGACCACTCTCAGGAAGTCCTGCAGCGTCTCTCTCTGGTTTCTCAGCGGAGTTCTGGACCTTTGTTCTGGACGTCTTCTGGGAAGTGAAGTCGCAGAGTTCTGACTCTGTTCTGAAGCAAACTGCATCCACCTGTCTGCATGTTTTAGAGGACTTTCTGAAAGTCCAGACCTTGTTTCAGACCTTGTTTCAGAGCATTTCTCTGTGAATTTGTTTATTTCCGGTTTGTGGGAACCAGCGAACGTCCTGTAAATAGTCTGAGAGTCCGAACCATCGTAAAAATCCTTTCACAAGAGGAAGGAACTGGACCATGGTTCAGTTCCTTCCTCTTGTCGTCGGACCAAATTTCGGCTGGAGGTTTCACACCTGTGATTTTGGCATCAAGCTGAAAAGTCCGGACCGAACGAGGTGTGAAAGCCCCTTAAAGTGAGTCTCCGCTGCAGCTTCACCTGCTGACTCACTGCAGTCTCTGACTTCCTGTCGTTACACCTGAACGCAGAGTCTTTCATCACCTCTGGGTTTTATCTGTGTGTGCGTCTACTCACACGTGCAGGTGCGAGTGCGATGCGTTCGGGTGCAGCAGGTAGACGGAGGGGAAGGTTGTGATCTTCAGAGCGTCCAGCAGGGGGCGGTCAGAGCTCAGAGCTCGCTTTACCTCCACACCCGAGTACTGCTGCAGGTCCAGGATCACCTGAGAGACAGACAAGTAGAGAGAGAGACAGTTAGATCCTCGGCTCTGGAGCTCAGGCTGAACCGTCTCCTCCTTCATGGTCCCACCTCTCGTCCTACGTAGGAGTCCGGGTCCTCGATGATGATGGCGGTGTAGTGGTCCGACCTCTGACCCAGCAGAGGCAGCAGCTCTGCAGAGCTGCACACAGATTCATTATTATTTTCTCAGTTTAAAGGGCAGCTGATGTCTCTAAGAAGCACGTCTGGCTACAGGTGCTGAAATTCTCAATAAATCAAACGCTGGGACAGAAACACCTGAAACACCTGGTCTGTGCGGCAGCACGACTTCCTCCCTACATCGACTGAAAAACATCTCAGCTCCGATGAAAACGTGAAAACGTTTCCATCTTTATCGTCTTTCAGGACCTCTGGCGCAAAGTCGTTTTCTATTTTCTGATTTTGTCTACGGGGCTGCTGGTGCGTGATGAGTCGTGCTGCGTTCAGAATCAGGTTCTGGTTCTGGTACCTGTACGGGTCCAGTGGAGGACAGTGATCGGGCCACTCCCGCTTGGTGTGGTTCTGTAGGATGTTCACCATCACCTGTCTCACTGACTGGATCTCTCTGTCTGCACCTGGAGACAGACAGGAGGCGTGAGACAGAAGGCATGAGACAGGAGGCGTGAGACAGGAGGCGTGAGCCAGGAGGTGAAGACAGGAGGCATGAGACAGGAGGCGTGAGACAGGTTTTCAGACAGGAGGCATGAGACAGGAGGCGTGAGACAGGTTTTCAGACAGGAGGCGTGAGACAGGAGGCATGAGACAGGAGGCGGAGACAGGTTTTCAGACAGGAGGCGTGAGGCAGGAGGCGTGAGGCAGGAGGTGTGAGACAGGTTTTCAGACAGGAGGCGTGAGACAGGTTTTCAGACAGGAGGCGTGAGACAGGAGGCGTGAGGCAGGAGGTGTGAGACAGGTTTTCAGGCAGGAGGCGTGAGACAGGTTTTCAGACAGGAGGCGTGAGACAGGAGGCGTGAGGCAGGAGGTGTGAGACAGGTTGTGAGACAGGTTTTCAGACAGGAGGCGTGAGACAGGAGGCGTGAGACAGGTTTTCAGACAGGAGGCGTGAGACAGAAGGCGGAGACAGGTTTTCAGACAGAAGGCGGAGACAGGTTTTCAGACAGGAGGCGGAGACAGGTTTTCAGACAGGAGGCATGAGACAGGAGGCGTGAGGCAGGAAGACAGGTATTCAGACAGGAGGCGTGAGACAGGTTTTCAGACAGGAGGCGGAGACAGGTATTCAGACAGGAGGCGTGAGACAGGTTTTCAGACAGGAGGCGGAGACAGGTATTCAGACAGGAGGCGGAGACAGGTATTCAGACAGGAGGCGTGAGACAGGTTTTCAGACAGGAGGCGTGAGACAGGTTTTCAGACAGGAGGCATGAGACAGGAGGCGTGAGACAGGTTTTCAGACAGGAGGCGTGAGACAGGAGGCATGAGACAGGAGGCGGAGACAGGTTTTCAGACAGGAGGCGTGAGACAGGAGGCGTGAGACAGGTTTTCAGACAGGAGGCATGAGACAGGAGGCGGAGACAGGTTTTCAGACAGGAGGCGTGAGACAGGAGGCGGAGACAGGTTTTCAGACAGGAGGCGGAGACAGGTTTTCAGACAGGAGGCATGAGACAGGAGGCGTGAGACAGGAAGACAGGTATTCAGACAGGAGGCGTGAGACAGGAAGACAGGTATTCAGACAGGAGGCCTGAGACAGGAGGTGAAGACAGGAGGCGTAAGAGTGTCTCACCTCTATAGGTCGTCCCTCTGTCTGTCTCTGGACTGTGAGCCCGAAAATACTGGAGACAAACAGATCGATAATATCATTACATGTCAATACACACTGTCAGTACGCAGTACTAGTACTCTGCAGGTAGTACTGTGACGTACTTTGAAGGTTGGGTAGAACTTGATGCTGAACTCTTTACAGACGTCGAAGTTCTCCTCCTGAGCGCAGTCCAGCACGGCCACGCTGATGGTCTGCTGCCAGTCTGAGAAACAGAAACAGAAGCCAATCAGGGCAGAGGAGGGCGGGTCCTGACAAGCACAACAAACCAGCTTCAGAGCAGAAACTGCTTTTTGTCTGCAGCAACCAGAGAAAGACTCAGAAATATATCAAACAGTTGTACTTTCGGGGGCCGGATGACTTTTTCTGCAGCACTTTACAGTGGAAATGTTTTTAAGGAGGCAGATCAGACTCTAACCCGCTGACAGAATCGGCGCTGCTCTCAGATCAACCGGTCTCCTGTCACGTGGTCCCTGCTGAGTCATGATTCAGTCTTCCCTCCTCTTTTGTCCCGTCCACAGGGAGAGGACAGAAAACTGGGCCAAGAAGAACCAGTGTCAACAAGCTGGTCAATGTTCTGGGGTCATTTCAGCTTAAGTTAATGTTTCTGGAACAACGCACACTACTTTCTGTTATGGCAGACACTAGTGTGCTCTTACATCTAATCTTTTAATATTATTATCACTATTCTGGTTATATATCTGTATTGTGTTTTATCCTTCACCTTTCCGTCTTCTATACGCCTCATGGTAGTCCGTCTACATTTACTGGGGTTCAGGTCAGAGCTCTGAGATTGTTTTCCTCTCCAGGAATGTACATTCAAGGCCTGGAGAGGATCTCTGTTCCCCAAAACATAGATGAGGATGCATCCTCAAGCCGCTCTGACCAGCAGGTCTCTGGACTGTATATGTGTTGTAGACCTTCTCTGTTTATTCTCTTATTAATAAATTCTTCAGAGACAGCGGTTGGTTGTAACCCAATTCTTTGCTCAAACCCTCACCAAGTAAATCATTTCCACGACAGTTTCTTCTAGATTTACATGTTTCGTTGTTGTGGAAATAAACCTCTCTCTTCCTCTAGCTTTGTTTTTTAAACATTTCTTGTTGTTATTTTCCAGAACATTTTTACCAGATGCTCTCATTGACTTGTGGCGCCAACTAACAACAAACTGGTGAGGGTTTTCTTACCGTGCAAGTAAACCTTTCATTTGTTATTTAACATATTTATCAGAACCATTTAAAGTGGGGCTGGGCGGTACGGCCAAAATGATAATTATCAGGATAAAAGTCAAATCATTATTTCTTTCAGGTTTAAAGGCTGATTTTAGCTCCTGGGTGAAAATTAAAGAAGGTTAAACTTTTCTTTCTGCTCAGAACAAACACACAGCGGATCACTTTCCAAATCTGAGGCCGAACATTCAGAACTACTCTGAGAAAATCTCTTTTCAAAGCTGTACTTAGTAAATCTTTTTCAGTCCCTTTAACGCAACAGAACAAACATCAGAACAGAGAGATGAAGTGCTGATTCGTTTGTGATTCAGATGAAATAAATCAAACATCAATTGAACTTTTTATCGTTATTGAGGAAAATGATCCTGTGATAATTATTATCATCATCACGGTTTTATTGCCCAGCTGAGTTCAGCAGCAGAGGTTTCTGTGGGAGAACAGAAACCTGTTCCTCTGTGTCACTCTGCAACCCTGTTACACGCACAACAAAGATTAATAACACACTAAAGGAGAACTGGACCTGTTTAAGACCTGGTTCAGGGTTCAGGTTACAGTTAGAGGGCGCTTTATGTCAGAGACGGCGATGGTGGAACCAACACGGGTGGTGTCTCCAGCTGTCGGAGGGGGTGGGGGGGGCAGGTCTTTGTCCCTTAGATGTCCTTTGACTGCGACAGCAGGTCCACATAAAGAAAATGTGTCCCTGTGTGTTAGAGGGGCAGCTGGTCTCCTGCTGGACGATTCCCCAGAGACTGGGAGGCAGACTGAGACTAAACACAGCAGACACATTCCCACAGGCTGGCGTGTGTGTGTTACTGCGTGTGTGTGTTACTGCGTGTGTGTGTTACTGCGTGTGTGTTACTGCGTGTGTGTGTTACTGCGTGTGTGTGTTACTGCGTGTGTGTGTGTTACTGCGTGTGTGTGTGTTACTGCGTGTGTGTGTTACTGCGTGTGTGTTACTGCGTGTGTGTGTTACTGCGTGTGTGTGTTACTGCGTGTGTGTGTTACTGCGTGTGTGTGTTACTGCGTGTGTGTGTTACTGCGTGTGTGTGTTACTGCGTGTGTGTTACTGCGTGTGTGTGTTACTGCGTGTGTGTTACTGCGTGTGTGTTACTGCGTGTGTGTGTTACTGCGTGTGTGTGTTACTGCGTGTGTGTTACTGCGTGTGTGTGTTACTGCGTGTGTGTGTTACTGCGTGTGTGTGTTACTGCGTGTGTGTTACTGCGTGTGTGTGTTACTGCGTGTGTGTTACTGCGTGTGTGTGTTACTGCGTGTGTGTGTTACTGCGTGTGTGTGTTACTGCGTGTGTGTTACTGCGTGTGTGTGTTACTGCGTGTGTGTGTTACTGCGTGTGTGTGTTACTGCGTGTGTGTTACTGCGTGTGTGTTACTGCGTGTGTGTGTTACTGCGTGTGTGTTACTGCGTGTGTGTGTTACTGCGTGTGTGTGTTACTGCGTGTGTGTGTTACTGTGTGTGTGTTACTGCGTGTGTGTGTGTGTGTGTTACTGCGTGTGTGTGTGTGTGTTACTGCTTGTGTGTGTTTGCATGGGAAACCCTCCAGGTCTGTGTGTTGGTGTCTCTGAACAAGTAACTGAGTAATTAACTAAAAACTGGTCCTAAAATCTCCTACAAATGAAACGCAGACTGAGAAGCATTAGCAAACTAAACTAAATATTATTTCTTCACAGCTGCTTTGTTTTCAGGACACGTGACGATGAAAAGCCCAAAAAGTGATTAATACCAGGAACCATCGACCCCTTCATTAGAGCACACACAGTGAACTGTAAACAACTAAAATAATATTATAACTGATTAGATGTGTGACTGAGGCTAAAACCTGACAACTTAAACTAACAGCTGTTTCACTTCATCCTCTGCTCAAATGTTCCTAAATAAAGTTGCGTCACATCAGACGATCCAAATAAACCACACTACAAATACCAGTGATTATCAGAGCCGAGGAGTCAAATAATCCAAGATAGTTTTAGCCAATTCTTCTCTCTTGTACCGTTTAAGCCCTCACTCAGAACTTCATTCAAAAACCTGCTACTTTTCAGTTGCTTCCCACAACTTAAAACATTTATCAAAGCGTGTGTCACACGACCTGTTGTTGAGATTTTGCTGTAATGGCCTGATTGTTTTAATGCCGAACTAAAGTGGGATATCATATAATCAGAAAACACAGAGTGAAACTTCGTCGTTTTACCGATCAACCAGGAATAATGTAAATAAGTCATATTTTACATGGAGTTTGGTGGTGCCGTTTACAAAGGAGAACGGCAAAAGAGGAACCAAGCCGTGTTAACAGGTGGCACACAGCTAGTTTTAGCCAACAGCTGTTTAATTAATGCGCGTTTATTCTGATAAATATTAGGGGAGCATTTTCTAAAGTAAGTTACTCTTAGCTGGTTTAAACTCTTGTCATTATTGTAACGTTTAAGCAGTCACTCAGAACTTCATTCAAAAATCTGCTACTTTTAAGTTGCTTCCCACAACTTAAAACACTTAAGCAAGCGTGTGTAACATGACCTGTTGTTGAGATTTTACTGTAATAACCTGATGAAATTTAGATTGTTTTAATGCCGGACTAAAGCAGAATATATTAGAATCAGAAAACACAGAGAGAAACTTTAAGAAGTGGCGTTGTTTTTAGCAATCAGCCAGTAATAAAGCAAAAACAGTCATATTTTGAATAGAGTCTGGCGGTGCTGTTTAAAAGGCGAATAGCAGCGGCGGAACCGAGCCGTGTGTGTTTGCTGCGGTACCTTTGACGTCCTGGGCCAGGGCCTTCCACGTGCTGGAGTACTGGATGCAGTGTCCACACCAGGAGGAGAAGAACTGGACCAGCCAGGCCGAGGACGAGTTCGTCACGGAGGACTTCAGGCTGCCGCTGCTCAGGATCACCAGCGGGTCCTCCTCCGTGTACAGCCGGGCGGCGGCCGCCACACACCCGGGGAAGAGCCAGAGGCAGACCGCCGCCGCTTTGAACCAGAACCGGAGCATCCCTGCGGTCCGGATAGAGACACGAGCCGAGCCGAGAGCGAGCCGAGCCGAGAGCGAGCCGTCAGACAGCTGGAGAGGTTCTGCCGAAAAGGAGCAGAGAGCGCCGCGCAGACATGAGAGCGGCTACGTGTGTTTTTCAGCAGAGAGCAGACGTCTCACTCCGAGCGGGATTCACACGACGGCCTCCAAACTAAAGTAAACACGTGTGATTGTAGAATAAAAAACTACCCAGTAACAGTTATTAACACGCGACAAATACTGATTTATGGCAGGATCGGGTGGAGTTTCTATGGTAACGGCTCCACGACTTTAAGCCGTGGATCCCGTTTTTTTTTGCCCAAGAGACGATCTTTTTCTCTCAGGCCGAGAAAATAACGCGAGAACTGACGAGACTGACCCGTGGTGTGTTCAGGGTGAGATCTCAGCCTCAGAGGATGTTGATAACTTTGATGAGTGGCGGAGCAGATTTAAACGTTGTAAACTGGTTAAATGTCTTAAAATGTTTATTATTGACTTGTGAAATATTGAGTGTCATTTACTTAGTTTATTTTAATTTTTAATATATGTATATACACACACTTTTTGTTGCTATAAATTCATGCCCAATAATTTGAATGGGAATCGGAGTTGATGTAATTAAGGTGAGACACCACAGTCTAAAATTATGTCATTTTATCAGATTTCAAGCTATTTTGTAACTTTTATTACCAGACTGTCATAAAAATGAACCAAACAATCTTGAATAAAATGTATGTAATTATAATTTGTTTAAACGGAGTCTGTTAATTTCATCTTTGTTTGCACTGTACATGTAAAACTGCTACGTTTGCACCTCCCCTCCCGACTACGACGGCGAAATCAAAGACCTAAAACGGAGAAGTTTGGAAATGCTGCCGACCCCAATTTGCGTTGCAAAACTCCGGAGGGCCATTCAGTGCAGAAGGGCCAAAACTTGATGGCGCAGCCGCTCGCGGTCGGCTCTCTGATTGGGTCTCGTAAGTCCTGAAAAGCAGAAACACGATGCTGCTGAGCAGGATTTTGACATAGTATTTTTTATGAAAATATTCTGTACCGTGCAAATAATACTTACAGCCCACACTTGTACTGTGCATGTGAATGTGTACTAATGTGAAAGCTAAAGAGATGATAAATGACTCCAGGGAAGTGAGACTATGTGACGATGCAGTCATTGGCGGTAACTGACACAACATGTCGAGTGTTTGTGTGCAAAACTGGCCCAAAGACTGCATTTTCCCCACAGACTGAGACTGGTTAGGGTGGGTTCCAACATCATGACTTTATTTTACAACGCCGTGCTGGAAAGTCTGATCAGATCCTGGTTTGGCACCTTTACCGTCCAGTGCAAAGACTAATACAAGCTGCGATGAAGGTTGTGGGAAAACCAGACTGCACTTCCCTTCAGACCATCTTTGAGAAAACGGTGGTCTCTCAGGCACAGAACATTCTGAAGGACTCTTCCCACATTCTGCACTCTGAACAGACGTTTTACCTTCAGGGAAACGCTACAGAGCCAGCAGATGTAAAAGTAACCGCTATAAGTTATCTTTCATCCAACAGAGCTTCTGAATAAACAAGATGGCCACAGGCACTTTATTTACTTTTAAGCTTACTTTTAAGCATAGTTTAATATAAGTGATCGTGTGCGCTAGGGTGTTTTAACAACTGGATCTTAAATTTGCTTTTTAATTTTAGAATTGGGGCTGTTTTAATGTTATTGTTATATTATATTGTTTTCTGCTTTAAGCGCAATTGAACATAGTAAGTCTCAGATACTTGTGTAATGTACTAATGTAATTGGTGCGGACTGTGTGATGTGTCCACATGTGTTACTGCTCTTACTGCAGCCTCATGCGGCACTAAGACAAATGTCCCTCGGGGGACAATAAAGTTGATCTGTATTTATTTGTATTTCTAATTATTTATCTGCAATTCTTTTGTAACAAGTAATGATTGTTCTGGAATGCAGGAAAGTGTGTTTTCCCCTCTTATAACCTTTTCTTTACATTTCAGTTATACTGTAAAATACTGCACGTACTCCTTTTATATTTACATTTTCATAGATGTATATTTCTTTACATTTTCTACATCCCAACTTTCTATTATTTCTTTTCCTTTAATAACTTGATGTGCAAAGTGATAAATCTGTAATGAAAGATTTTCCCCTCACGGATCAAATTTCTGATTTTCATTCCCCGCATTGTTCCTGTAGTTCCCCACAGTCCCTGAACGCAGCACTGCTCTTGCTGCCCTCTGCTGGTCGGCGGCGGAAATGTTACATTAAATTAAATCTAAGCAGCAAAAAACGTAACAAAAAATAATAAAAAACAATAATAACATGAAAGCAATTATGGGGATTTAATCAAAATACAATGTGAGTAACTCAGAGTTAAGGAACTATTCTAGTTTTTTTTCAGTGACTGAAAAAAATTATCATCAACTCATTAATAAATGCTATAAAACTTAGAGCAGTTTTAGAAAACTACACTTGTGAATATAACAGAATTTTTTTAAATCACATTTAGTATCAAAGAAATTATACTTATCTTAAAAAATAATCAAAGTACTGTAAAATTCACTTACCTCAAAATAAAACTGTCCAAATTATATTAAATATTTATATTACAATACCACATTTATCCGTTAAATGAAGCCTAACACAGCCCAAACTACTTTTTTCATCTAATCTGTATAAAAAGCTTTTATTCTGAAACTTCCGGTTGAGCTGTGTTTTTTTTTCCTGCTGCAGTTTAGCGTCCTGTTGCCATAGAAACGGCGCATCCCGACCCAGGAGGCCGCAGGAAACGCAGGTGAGTCTCTGCACCTGTGATCTGCGTGTTAATGTGTTAAATGTTGCAGTAAATGTCGGAATATCAGAGCATCAGTCTGGTTTTAAAGCAGCAGCTGAAGTCCTGCTGAGAGAAAAAAAACTGCGTTTGTGTTTGAACTGTTTCCGGTTTGAAGCAGCTTCACAGCCGGAAACTCAGTGACACATTAATTAAGCTGTTAAATCTGTAACATCTGATTTTCTAACAAAGATCCTGTTGTTTGACTCTCAGAGTTTCCTCCGTTTCTTTCAGCTGCAGTTACTGATTCAGATTCTACAGGTTAATAAATGTTCAGATTAATCAATAATTGTTGCAGATTCATTTAATAGTTGTTTAATTGATAAATCGTTGCAGCTGTCTGATGAACATCTTGTTGTTGAAGTGTGTTTGTAGCATCATTCAGAATCTGCTGCTGTGAAACCAGGTTCTGTTCCAGAAGTTAGAAAACTTCATTCAGAAGCTCTTTGGAGAAATAACTGATAACTCATAACTTCACAGGGACAGTTTATTGATCAGACATGATGTAATGTTACATCATCAGACCGCTGCAGACAACGCTGTGAATCAGTGAAAGACTTATTTATGCTAATAACGCTTTTTAAAAAACAATATTTGATTCTTGGTTGGTCCAGAAAACAGATTTTACATTCTGGATATTTTATGTATAAACAGATTTTTAAATGAATCAGAAAAGTTTCATATTCAGCCCGTCCTCACCAGAAAAACAACAGGTCGATTGTTCAGACGCTTGTTACGATGATGATGGCACAGGAGGAAGTCAGGTGACGTATGACTAAAGAGGTGGAGGGATGGACTCTGGGAGGCCGGGGGTTCGAGTCCTGTGTGTTAACATTGAGTTAAGCTGTTTAAAGTTAAAGAGCTGGTTTTCTGCTCATGTTCAGGTTCCTCATCTTATTTAGGTGTTTGTACCAGAACAGGTTTACATGGTTATATGTTTGTCATACTGCACATTGCTGCAGCTCCTCTTTTCAGCCTGTGTTGAAGGCTTCGTTTTAGCTATGGAGTGATACATCTCGTCTCTAAATGATCTTTGTTGGGAGTTGCACATGCTCAGTTCCTAGTTAAGGACTACTAGCCAATCAGAAGCAGAGAAGGGCGGGTCAGCGAGAAGCCGGGTAAACGGCTCGGGTTCAGCCGTACGTGTTGCCGACCGGCTCGGCAACACGGACTGGAGCGAGAGTTTCAGAGCGGTGAGTTATTAATCTGTGACGTCACAGGGATGAAAGGGAAGCGGCTGGACTACAAACGAGCTGTTTTCAGTTCAGAGCAGAGTTTTCTGTGGGAGATGGGAACTCACTTTGGGCTTTTTCACTTTGCAAACCTGTTACAGCACAAAAAATGTTTATAACTCGATAAAGGAGAGGGAAAAAGACAAAAACCATAATACCACCTCTTTAAATAACGTTAGGTGAGCTGCGAGGCCTAAACAGAACTGCAAGCGTTTCACTACGTTAATGACGTGTTTAAGGTCAGGATGTATTTTATCGTTTCAGTTTGAGGACGTGTTGTAGAGAAAATAAATTAAAGCAAACTTTAACACCATTTCCCAGAAAGCAGCAGAGCGCTGCAGGTCAAAGGTCAACACTCAGTTTGTTGTTGTTCTAAAGGTGAAAGTTCACCCAAATAAAACAAAACCATCTCCTTCCTGTCGCAGAATCAAAACACACAGTGAGTCTTCCCTTTGCTCGTCTTCATCATCAGCCACAGAGGAAACATGTCTTCACCCAGGGTGGGCGTGGTCAGAGACTCCATGCTGACCAATCCACTGCTCATCAAGGTGAACGAGACTCTGCATCAGCACTTTAACTTTCTGTCACATCAAACGTTCAAACAGGAAACAGAGAAACTAACCAATCAATAAACAGACATGCTAATGGGCTTTTACTGTGAAGGAGCTGCAGTTTTCAGCCTTCAGATGTCTTTAATGAACAGAAGATTATTATCATGATGTAAGAAATGAGCCACTAAGTTGTAGATGATGAGTGTTGATGTAAACTGTTGGTTTCCTGCTGAGTGTAAAACCTCCTGATGAACACTAGAGGGCAGCACAGAGACGAGATGAAGCTGCTGAACGTCTCTCAGCTCTGCAGGTTTTATAAAGGGGCTGAGAAACCGGGACCATGTGAGAGTCCAGACAGAGGAACATACAGGTGCTGGTCATATAATTAGAATATCATCAAAAAGTTGATTTATTTCAGTAATTCCATTCAAAAAGTGAAACTTGTATAATGTTATTATATTTCAAGTGTTCATTCCTTTTAATTTTGATGATTATAACTGACAACTAATGAAAACCCCAAAATCAGTATCTCAGAAAATTTGAATATTGTGAAAAGGTTCAATATTGAAGACACCTGGTGCCACACTCTAATCAGCTAATTAACACAAAACACCTGCAAAGGCCTTTAAATGGTCTCTCATTCTAGTTCTACACAATCATGGGGAAGACTGCTGACTTGACAGCTGTTCAAAAGACGACCACTGACACCTTGCACAAGGAGGGCAAGACACAAAAGGTCATCGCTAAAGAGGCTGGCTGTTCACAGAGCTCTGTGTCCAAGCACATTAATAGAGAGGCGAAGGGAAGGCAAAGATGTGGTAGAAAAAAGTGTACCAGCAATAGGGATAACCGCACCCTGGAGAGGATTGTGAAACAAAACCCATTCAAAAATGTGGGGGAGATTCACAAAGAGCTGCAGCTGGAATCAGTGCTTCAGGAACCACCACGCACAGACGTATGCAAGACATGGGTTTCAGCTTTCGCATTACACAAGACACAGCGTCAGAAGCGTCTCGCCTGGGCTAAAGACAAAAAGGACTCGACTGCTGCTGAGTGGTCCAAAGTTATGTTCTCTGATGAAAGGAAATTTTGCATTTCCTTTGGAAATCAAGGTCCCAGAGTCTGGAGGAAGAGAGGAGAGGCACAGAATCCACGTTGCTTGAAGTCCAGTGTAAAGTTTCCACAGTCAGTGATGGTTTGGGTGCCATGTCATCTGCTGGTGTTGGTCCACTGTGTTTTCTGAGGTCCAAGGTCAACGCAGCCGTCTACCAGGAAGTTTTAGAGCACTTCATGCTTCCTGCTGCTGACCAACTTTATGGAGATGCAGATTTCATTTTCCAACAGGACTTGGCACCTGCACACAGTGCCAAAGCTACCAGTACCTGGTTTAAGGACCATGGTATCCCTGTTCTTCATTGGCCAGCAAACTGGCCTGACCTTAACCCTATAGAAAATCTATGGGGTATTGTGAAGAGGAAGATGCGATATGCCAGACCCAACAATGCAGAAGAGCTGAAGGCCACTATCAGAGCAACCTGGGCTCTCATAACACCTGAGCAGTGCCACAGACTGCTGGACTCCATGCCACGCCGCACTGCTGCAGTAATTCAGGCAAAAGGAGCCCCAGCTAAGTATTGAGTTCTGTACATGCTCATACTTTTCATGTTCATACTTTTCAGTTGGCCAAAATTTCTAAAAATCCTTTTTTGTATTGGTCTGAAGTAATATTCTAATTTTCGGAGATACTGACTTTGGGATTTTCATTAGTTGTTAGTTTTAATCATCACAATTAAATTAAATAAACATTTGAAATAAATCAGTCTGTGTGGAATGAATGATATCCAAGTTTCACTTTTTGAATGGAATTACTGAAATCAACTTTTTGATGATATTCTAATTATATGACCAGCACCTGTATAAACTCTCCCTGATGGTGCGTTCAGGGACGTCTTCAGATTTAGTGTTCCTGTTCAGAAGTCTTCAGGATGACTGACAGCAGCCAACTTCTGATTCATTGACGTGAAAGAGTCCTTGAACGCACCACCGAGGAGGATTTTGAAAGTAGTCTCTTCACAAGTTTCTTCTGTTATAAAATCTAAATGTCCACATGTTTCTGTGGGACGCTGCTGAGTTTGAGAAGGTGATGATGTCTCTCCTTCTGTGTGCAGGCGTCTCTGGGGCAGACCCGGTCCAGAGGTCTGTCACGTCCTGGTCCAGATTTTACCTTTGGAGCCAGCAGCAGTTTGCTTAAAGACGGAGGCGTGGCTGAGGGTAAGCTCCACAATCTGCAGATCTTCTCACTCAGGACTTAAAACATGTCTGAGATTTTGTATTTTTAGACCAGGTGCAGAGCGGCCTGCTGGGAGTTGTAGTTTTTGATCATTGTCCCTGTGCTGTGTCAGTTCTGTCCAGCTGGAGGGTTCAGTCCAAGCGTGGAGACTCTGCCGCTCATCACCCGGTCGCTCCGGACTTCGTGTCTCTGAACCGGGACGCGGTGAAGTCTGGTCTGGTGACGTCCAAAGAGCTGAGTCAGTACCGGGCTCAGAGGGGCGGGGCTGCGAGCCAGAAACTCGTCCCCAAAAAACGGGAGGGCGGGGCTTCGCGGCGCCCGGCGGTGCCTGACATCATGTTCGGAGTCACAACCAGGTCAGGAAAACATCCACAGGGCCGATTATTGTTCATTGATTATAGATTCACCACAAAACGATCTGTCCATCAGGGCGCCGTCTCCGCTGTCAGACCTCCTCTCTCATCAGTACGCTCACCGCTGGCTGGATGAACAGCTGAGCAGGAATCAAACCAGCAAGCAGCAGCAGCAGCAGCAGAGGGTGAGAGAGAGAGATCCAATAAACGGCAAGAGAAGACTAATGTTTAGATCCTGTTTGAGTTGTGTCCTGAACTACACTCATGATGTTTGTCAGTATAAAAGATCATTTCATCAACAAAGTCTCAGTTTGTCAGATTACACAATCACCTGTGTGTGCAGATGAAACCTGGTCGTATTTTGGACACCAGGACGAGCCTGCTGAGGAGGAGCAGAGCTCTGCCCGTCACACAGACTCCATTCAAACTGGCCCACTTCACTCAGGTAGCTTCTGTCTGCAGCCAGCAGTTCTTCTTAAAGCTGCACTAAAATAATTTGACACAATCACTAAGTCACCAGACTGATGTTGAAGCGATGAACTCACAGTGAACGGTCTCCGTCTCTAGGTTCCTCCTGCTCTGGACACCTTCAGGGACCAGGAGGCTCGTCTCCGGGCGTTCAGGGCCCATCAGTCAGACTCTGTGTCCAGGAGAGGAGCTCAAGGTCTGGGCACGTACAGTCTGGACTGACCGGGGGGAACCGGACCGAACCACCTCTCACAATGTGTCGACACGAATAAAAATGAAACAGCGTCATAAATCTGTCTGTTGTTCTTCCATCAACATCAGATTCAGTGTTTCCCACCAAAACACGTCTGAACTCAAAGTGTGGCCACAGGCAGAAGAAATAAAGCTGAGGTGTATGAACGAGGGGAATCTCCAACCCAGGGCCTCAAGTATGGACACTTGGTCAAGACCCCTGGTGTTGCTTTTTAATGCCCTGAGTACCCTTCAGTGTTGGTTTAGCAGCGGTAGTGCTCTGCTGTCAGGTTAGCAGGAATAAATATGCCACGTCTGGTTAGACTTTCAAAATAAAATCAGTGGTTAACGTTGTGAAACTTAAAATAAAAATAAGTGACACACAAGTACCACAACATCACTACAAGGAATTAATGTTGACTTTTTGTTTCACACGGTAAAGGAACACCAGTCTCCTGGGTGAAAGTCCGATTTTTGTCCCACTGCTTCACCTCAACCACGTCCTTACTTGGACTTTTCTTTTGTATACAGTAGTACATTATTTGTGATTAAAATAATGGTTGTTGATAAAAGAATTTGTGACCCCCACAGACGCAGGATTTTACTGCTTCCATGGGAGCTCAGACCTCCTTATGGAGCTGAGCTCACACGTAACTCGAACCCTGGCGACAGAGAAACGTTAGAAAGTAAGGTGTAACCAGAGGAAGTGGAGTAATCAAATAATTATTATATTATAATTGCAAAAAAATGCAAACCATATATATATATATATATATATATATATATATATACATATATATACACACACACACTGAGGAACCATGAAGGTTGGTAGGGGGAGAGGAGGACAGTGAGGTTTGAAGGGGCCAGGTGGTGAATGGCTTTGTAGGTGAGGACCAGGATTTTGTATGTGATCCGGTGAGAAATGGGAAGCCAGTGTAGTTGTTTTACAATTGGAGTGATGTGGTGCCAGGATTTGGAGCAGGGTATGAGTCGTGTGGCTGAGTTCTGGACCAGTTGGAGTCTTTTTATGTAGACTGAGTTGATACCAAGGAGTAGTCAGTTGCAATAGTCCAGCCGTGAAAAGATGAAGGCGTGAATGAGTCTTTCAGCAGCAGAGGGTGTGAGTGAGGGTCTGATTTTGGCAATATTTCTAAGGTGAAAGAAGGAGGTTTTAATGACATGACGGATGTGGGGCTCAACACCGAGGTTGAAGGCCTGGGGAGATGGGGAGACAATGGTGCCGTCGATGGTGAGAGTGAGGTTATTGGCTTTGCTGATAGTGGATTTCGAGCCTATGAGGAGGAATTCTGTTTTATTGCCGTTTAGTTTGAGGAAGTTGTGTTGCATCCAGGTTTTAATTATTAACAGACAGGAGTTGATGTGGGAGAGGGGGGGATTGTGGGGGGATTTGGTGCTGAGGTAGATCTGGGTGTCATCAGCATAACAGTGGAAGTTCAGGTTGAAGTGGCGGAGTATCTGACCAGGGGGGAGGATGTAGATGATGAAGAGAAGGGGGCCGAGTACGGAGCCTTGGGGAACACCTTGGGTGACTGTGACTGTAGCAGAGGTGTGGTTATGAAGAGAGATGAAGTGGGATCTGTTGGGATGGTAGGAACGGAGCCAGGTGAGTGCAGTACCTTCGATACCAAGGTCGAAGAGGTCTGGTGGAGTCTGGTGAGCAGGATGTTATGGCTCACAGTATCGAAGGCTGCACTCAGGTCAAGAAGAATAAGGATGTTGAGGGAACCGGTGTCAGCGGAAGGGAGGAGGTCGTTGAAGACTTTGAGGAGAGCAGTTTCTGTGCTGTGGAGGGGGCGAAAACCAGATTGGAAGGGTTCAAATTGGTTATTGGCATGGAGATGAGTTTGTAATTGTGAGGCGACTATACGTTCGAGGTTTTAATACAGAAAGGGGAGGTTGGATATTGGGCGTTAGTTATTAAGGGAAGCGGGATCAAGACCAGGTTTTTTAAGGACTGGGGTGACAGCGGCAGTTTTGAAAGCAGAGGGGACGGTTCCAAGGGACAGTGAGGAGTTGAAGAGGTTAGTGAGGTAGGGGGAAAGGACGGGGAAACATGACTTCATGAGAGGAGTAGGGAGGGAGTCAAGTGAGCGGGTAGTGGGTTTGGAAGAGCTGATGAGTTTAGAGATTTCAGGGGTAGTGACCAGGTCAAACTGGGAGGGGAGGCAGTGTGGAGGAGGAGGAGGGAGGTCAGGCAGGATAGGGGGAAGATTGAACATGATGCAGAGTGGAGGGACTGAGAGCTCCGTGATAGCAGTTAGCGGTGGACTAGCGACACAGAGGTCGATGACTGATGTAAGTGCCAAAATGATCCACGGCATGCCAGGAGGAGATGAAAGTCACGGTCTAGGCTTGCATCTGGTTGAGGTTGCCTGAGAGAAGGGCTAGGAAATAAGGTTAGCCGCTGATGCAGCTAGAATTAGCCACCACGCGTTGGATGAGCATGAGCAGCTAATTAGGGGCAAACCGACGAGGTAGTAGTCCGGTCGAGATGCCCAAGCGGCTTCAGGAACCAGCTGAAAGGCTGTCCAGAGATAGGGGTACAGTGAACACAAACACTAACAAAACAGGAGCAAAGGAAGGAATAGCAGACGGAAAAGCGGCGAATAAACAGCGCCAGCGTCCTCTCACGTCTCACGATGAAAGCAAAGTGACTGTGTTACACTTACCTGTGAACTTTAACAGAGGGTTTCCGATGGCAGAGCCTTGATGGAGGAGGAGGAAACCCCGGCAGTGCAGCTATTTTGTGTCTGATAAAAAGAATCTGACCACAGAGCTCTGTGCCATTCCAAGTTCTTCCGTGAACCTTAAGGAGGTAAACAAGCCATTCCCAGCTGCACCAGCAGTCAGGAACCGAACTTTCTTGCAGGACAAGCTGCTCTGTTTTTTTCTTTCTACCTCTCTTTTTACTTTGTGTTAGCAACACATGTTTGGATCCCTAAGGAAGCCGTTAAACAAGATGAAGCTTCATACCTGCAGGAGAGAACACACGTTCTATCACTGAGAGAAGGAAACTCTCTGTGGCTTAAAGTCGACTTCACTGATTCCTGTTGCCGCTGCTGAAGGATCAGCCCAACCGGTGAAACTGCCGGTAAATCGCCAGAACTGAGCTGGCAGAAAACTTTCCTAAAGGGACTGATGCACATAATCGCTACCAAGAGTGATCATGTAAGAGGCTTTGTATGTCTGAGCAGAAGACAGGGTACTGCAGAGGGCCCCTCACTGAGTCCTACATGTCTCATATCAGGCTCTCTCAGGAAATGAACTCACAATGCACAACTCCAATAAGATGAGCAATAACTTTATTGCAGGATGATACAAAAGTCCAGGTAAAGGTATCCAGAACACAAGGTGAGAGTCGGGGTCAAAAAACAGAGCTACGGTCAAACTCACTGACTAGACTGGAATCACACAAGGAATCAGGCTGGAATACTGTCACGGAAACAAGACAGTCTGGCAAAAACCTCAAGGGAAGGTGGGTTTATATATACAAAGGGAGGGGAGACAATGAGACACAGGTGCAGCACATTAGGGTGGGGACAGTTAATCACACATGGAAGGAAGGCAGACGAAGACCTGAAACGAGACACAAGATGAGTAACTGAAAAAAAACAGGAAGTGGTAACAGACAAGGAAACTGAACACATCACTCAACTCGGGGGGGTAGGCACTAGATAGGCTAGTCTCATTTTTATTCATTTCTTCATCTTTATGAACTCTGAAAGCTTCATATATCTATTCAGATTATTGGGTTAGTT